GCGCTGCGCCCGCCCCCTGCCTGCCCGACTTCACCTGCGCCTGCGCTGCTCCCGCCTTCGCCCCCGCCCCCGGGGCTGCCCGGCTCCTTCCCCAGGGGCCGCCCCGGTTCCCTTCCCAGGGGTCCCCCTCTCCCCTGCCCTTGCACTGGAGCCGACACCACGCGGTCTTCACCGCTAGCGACACCCGGCTCCGAAGTTCTGCAAAGCTAGTGCGCCACCTCCACGAGCTATTTAATTCCCCTTAATTCTTTAGGAAAGGAAACCGTTCGTGCCCCCACCCCTCGCCAGGGTCCCGGGGCACCCCCTCTCCGTGCCCCTTCCCACTTCCTCCTATTTCTATAGACAACGTTTGCATTCTCTCTTTTGGAAAATTTACACACTTGAAAAATGAATGACACACAATAGAGGGCACCAGTAACATCACCGCCCACTCCAGTCTTTTGATCCTGACAACGTGGAGTTGCTGCTTTTATCGACAGCCACTCTTTTATTGAAGCTTATACTCACTCAAAATAGAAAAAGCCACCAGAGGCCATTGTTTCTCCAGTGCTTCGTCCTGGCCTGTTTCAGGGTGCTTTTCCCCAGGGGAGGCGGGGAGCAGGCGCGTTTTAAAATGCCACCCGCCTTGGGACCCACAGGCGTGTGGCCAGTCAGCTGGTGGTGTCTCCCCTCTTTGGTTGGCAGCTCTGAAGTTTGGGTTCCTGGACAAACGCATCCTAAGCCCTTTGGGGCCTCTGTCCCACATGGATCCCAAACTCATCTGCCGGCCTTGTCTCTCTGCCCCAGCAAATAGTGGCTGGGGGTGGGGGGCTCCAGCTGCTCCCCCGTCTTGGGAGCCACCTATGTAAGGAAGGCCAGGGCACCCCCCCACACATAGGATGAAAATGGCCCCAGTTCTGCTCTGGGCACAGGCTGCAGATGCACTCACTCATCCCAGCGCCACAAGGCCCCTCCCCCTCACAGCGTCCTGGAGTCGCCTCTGGCAAGTCTGAGATTTCATGTCTCCTGATGGAAACAGAGCCACCTGGGCCATAGCACTCAGGACACTTAGCTCCTCCAGACACCGGGCCTCCCTCAACGTTGACTAGGCTCTGCTCTGTGCCCCAAAGACCGTGGGGACACCAAGAGTGTGGGAAGGGGAATGGCCAGGGCTGCAGCTAGTGCAGAGGCCGGTAGGCGCGAAGAGAAATGTCTGGCTCCTCACCCATCATGAAGCCCCTCATCATCATGGGTGTTACTCAAGCTTCTGGCACGTAGGGAGAAAGGTTTATTAATCTCTGCTTTAAAACGCACTTCAAGGCCTTGTTACTTTTTAAAAAAAGTTTTTTAAAAGTATGTTTTTATTGATTTTTTTTTTAGAGAGAAAAAGACCAAGTTTAACCCATGCCTAAGTATGGGAACCCTGTAGACATGAGGGGTTCACAGACCCACATACAGGAGAGGTTTAAAGACAGAAAAGGGGGCCCAGCCGGCGTGGCTCAGTGGTTGAGCGTTGACCGATGAACCAGGAGGTCACTGTTCAATTCCAGCTCAGGGCACATGCCTGGGTTGTGGGCTCGATCCCCAGTGTGGGGCGTGCAGGAGGCAGCTGATCAATGATTCTCTCTCATCATCGAGGTTTCTATCTCCCTCTCCCTCTCTCTTCCCCTCTGAAATAAAAATACATTTAAAAAAAAGGGAGAGAGGGGACAATGAGATATATATGGAATTCTGAGCTAAGGGTCAACTTGGGACTTCAGAGAGGAGGATGGTCATTGCGGACAGTAAGAGAAACAGGTGTTCAGTAATTAGAAGTTTCCCTGCCTTATAGATAAGTCAGAAAATTGGCTCTGATAATCTCTTGTTGTGGGCAAGGCCCCTAATTTAAATTCTTCTAGGCCAGTGGTTCTCAACCTTCCTAAGGCCGCGACCCTTTAATACAGTTCCTCATGTTGTGGTGACCCCCAATTCCATTGTTACAAATTGAACATAATGAAAGCATAGTGATTAATCACAAAACAATATGTAATTATATATGTGGTTACCAATGGTCTTAGGTGACCCTTGTGAAAGGGTCGTTCGACCCCCAAAGGAGTCGCAGCCCTAAGGTTGAGAACCGCTGTTCTAGGCGGACGTTTCTCTTGAGCCTGCAAAACAATTTGCATGCCACAGAGGCACATCTTGGGGTGACTGGCTTGGAGCCCCTACACCACAAAGCCCTATCTTGCTTCCCAGAGGAGGAAAATTGTATTCTGGTGCCGGGTTTGGCAAACTACAGCCCACTGCCTATATTTGTACAGCCTGTGAGCTAAGAATAGTGTTTACATTTGTAAATAGCTGGGGGAGGAGATCAGAAGAAGCATAAAAAATAAAAGACATCTGTGACACCGGGGCATTATATAAAGTTCAAAATTCAGCACCCATAAGTAACTACTGGAACCAAGCCCCGCCCATCATTTGCATATATGGATGGCAGCTTCAGGCCACAACAGTAGGGTTGAATAGTTGCAACAGAAACCACTGGCCCAGGAAGCCTGAAACCTCAGGATCTGGCCCCCGGCAGAAACTGGGTGCTGCCCCTGGAGCATTAAGCTGAAAAGGCAAAGGAATAGGGAGGGTGCGTCCAAAAGGCCACCCTGAAAACCTGTTAGTGCTCTGACAAGAGGCAGGCTGGCTTGAGTTCTGTGTTATAAGTAACTGATCTGGAAGCAGTGATGTTGGACATAGGGAAGAGCTATTGCTATTATTTTATTTATTTACTTTAAAAAAAAATGCTTTTATTGATTTTTAGAAAGAGAGGAAGGGAGAGGGAGAGAGGCCTCCTGATACCTCACACTGGGGATCGAGCCCGCAACCCGGGCAAGCACTGCAACCGGGAATGGAACCGTGACCTCCTGGTTCCTAGGTCGATGCTCAACCACTGAGCCCCGCCGGCAGGGCTTTTTGGGGTGTGGTAAGTTAACGCTAGGAAATACCAGTTACCAGAGCAGACCTCATTAGCTGGTGCCGCTCTCAGAATCTGACCCTCAAGGCAGCCACCTTCACAAACGTGGGCGTTGCTAGTGGCCTAATCTTGCTTATAACTGTGACAGGCAGGTCAAGAACGCTGACAGAACCAGGTACGAGTCGTGAACTTGGGGAGCCATCGTGCATTAGAAGGGGGTTCAGATACCATCAAGAATGCCAGAGGGAGTATGAGTAACCGGGTAACTGCTTTCCAACTTGAATGTGGGTCCTGTATACTTTCCTCTCCAGCTGAGGTGCCGTGCACAGGCCTCTGCACCCCCCGCAGGACAAGGTGGCCCAGCCTCTGAGCAGGCCGGGGAGGCCACAGGGAGGCCACTTCCCATTCTATCTCTGCAAATAGCCTGCAACCCACACCAGGGGCCAATGAAAGGGGATGGCTGTGGGTTCTGTGTCCCAGGAAGGCACCCGGTGGAGCCCAACTCAGGGTGGGGACTGTTTTTACCAAGGGGGACAATTAAGAGGGGACCACGTGGTCACGCCCTCCAATACAGGGCCCTCTGAACGTGGGGAAGCCCCCTGGTACTGGGGGAGCCATGGGGCTACACCCAGATGGGGAAAAAGAATTGTTTTTTGTAACTCATATCAATCAGCTTTTAAAAAAAGTATTTTTAGTTTTATACAAGGTGCTTTTGTGCTCGCTTTTTGTTAAACCTAATGGTTTGTTAACGTGCCTTAGGACCCACAGCTTGCAGGCAATGGGGCTTCAACCAACACGATTAATCATAACCATCATCTGAGGTTTGGTTTTCTTTTTCTTTCATTCATTGTTTTCTTTCTTTCTTTTCTTTTTTTCCCCTCCAACATATTTTGCAGAATCAGTTTCAAGAGCAACCTCATCAAGTCATAATGGCCAAACACGAGAACTCGGGGGCAGATGGGGGGATGACTGAAGCGGAGAAAACCTAACCGAGCAACTTGTAGGGTCACCCACCTTCCTGGACTGTACCAATTTCAGCCCATTTTAGCACCCCCGCCCCGCCCCCCTGCATAATCCCAGAAACCCCTCAGACCCAGGCAAAGCAGGACAGACAGTTGCCAACCTCTCCTCCGAATCATACCAAGCAGCAAACTGGCCCAGACCCAGGGGCCGGCAAGTCCCAGATGGCTCCGCCTCTGTGCCCGGAGCTGGCTTTCTGCTCTCAAGGGCATCATCTTACCACCCTCCCCCACCCGAGTCTCCAGGCTTTAGGGGCCCCGGAATGCTGAGGGACCCTGTGGCTAGATCCCCCTATAGGAGCAGGAGGTGGGCACCCCCATCATAGGAGGCCGGTGGCCCTGTGGGAGGGGCACCCCGTGTCCGGGCTGCGTCACGGCCATCTGACCCGGGAGGCACAGAGGCCCCACTCCGGTTTCATGGAGCCCCAGCCTGGCTGCGTGGTGGTGACCGGTAAGCCTGTTTGTCTGTTTTCCACGTGCCACTGCCTGTAGCCTGGCCCTGATTCTGGTCATAACCGGTTCCTGGTGGAGAAGACAGAGCAGCCAGCAGTGGTGCCAATCACTCCAGAAGGAAGCCAACTCCCAGCTCTGCCTGTTCAGAACCGGCAGCGGACAGAGAGGCGTTTCCACTCCGTCCTGCCATTCGCTATGAACGCCTCCTGAATGGCAGGCATGGAGGCGCCCACCTGTGGCTGAGGCCAGACCTTGACCTTCAGCCCATCAGGGAGGAAGCCAGTGGGCCCAGGTGGCCTCTGCGGGGTGCAGTTTCATAGCCAGGAAGGAGGAGCAGGGGGTCCCAGAAAGGACAGGGCCTCAAAAAGCTGGGGCAGTCCATGTGCAGTGCCCACCCCACCCGCAGACCAGAGAGCTTTGGGCCCCTCAGAAAACCATGAGGCACCCTGAGAGCCACCAGTTGGAGACCCTGAACCCCAAAGGCCAACTGGGAAGGAATGGTGGCTGCCCACTCCTGCCCAAATCCACCCCAGCCTCCCAAGCCATTGTCACAGCTGGGCTTCTGGAGGATTTTGTGGGTTTGTTGTTTTGTTTTTTGTTAATCCTCACCCAAGATATCCTCCCACTGATTTTTATTTTTATTTTGGTGGTGGTGGTGTTAATCCTCACCCAAGGATATTTTTCCATTGGTTTTTAGAGCGAGTAGAAGGTAGGGAGGGCAAGAGAGAGAAACACTGACGAGAGAGGCAACACTGATTGGCTGCCTCCTGCATGTGCCCCAATCAAGGCTGGGGATCGAGCCTACAACCCAGGTACATGCCCCTGACCAGAATCGAACCCGGGACTCTGCAGTCCGCAGGCTGCCACTCTATCTACTGAGCCAGACTGGTTAGGGGGAGGGTTTGATTTCTCTACAAAGCTTTCTTTTTACTTAGACATAACTGGCACATTTTCAGTTTTTGGAATTGTGTTGGACGAAGGCAACAGAGGCAAGACAAGGATTCCTCTGTGTGTGGCAAATCACAAGTTACCTATCTTAACATTTCCAGCCTATAATCAAACTCCTCTTAACCTTCTGAGGGAAAGAATGCGCTTTTGAAAACCTTTCATCAACCCTGCTCTCGCTGGTATTCTGGGTATGGAGATTGAGTGGTTCCAATGACCCTGGAAACTATACCTCTGGTAAACGAACGCTTGTCACCCATGAACTATGAATCCTGAAGCGCCAGGGCCGGTCTTAGGCTCACGCGGACCCATCTGCTGGCCAACCTGAGACTGCTGCTGAGGCACCTGTCCATCAGCTGTGGCTTCCAGAGGGCGGCCGCCTTTATTCAAAATGCTGCGCTGCCAGGGGCAGTCTTTTCCTTTAATTGGATTTGCTTCGTGTGTGAATCTGGCCGAGACAACTGGCATGGAGACAGACGATGGGAAAACAAGGGCTCAAGATCAAGGTGTCCTTGCCCAGGTGGTGTGGCTCAGTGGCTGAGCATCCACCTATGAGCCAGGAGCTCACAGTTCGATTCCCGGCCAGGGCACATGCCCGGGTTGTGGGCTCCATCCCCAGTGGGGGGCATTCAGGAGGCAGCCAATCCATGATTCTCTCTCATCACAGAGGTTTCTCTCTCTCTTCCTCTCCCTCTCTCTCTGAAATCAATAAAAATATATACTAGGAGAGCAATGCCTCACATTCTGTGATGCTCCCAGACTGGGGAGGTCGCAGGCCTCCAAGGAAGGGATGTGGGAGTTCCCGAGGACCCACAAT